TGCTTCAAATTTAAATTTCACACTCTTCATGTTTGAATTATATGCTTCCTTTTAAATTCAAAGAGCAAACGTTAGAGCTATATCGAAAGGTAATGTGTTATATTGTGTAAAATGAGGATATCTGTTGTATATTACCATGTGGAGTGGTGACCTCAGTCTTTTCTATTCAGGCATATTCTGCCCAGGAAGATCTGGAAAAGACCAAAGAAGAACTTAAAATAGTAATGTCTGCTCCACCTCCTCCCCCGCCGCTGCTTCATCCACCACCTGCGGCTCCTGTTGAAAATGAGCACGATGAACAGGATGAGAACAATGCTGAGGCCAGTGCCGAGCTGTCTTCTGATGGTGTGATGAACCATAGGAGCGAAGAGGAGCGGCTAACAGAAACCCAGAAGAATGAACGCGTCAAGAAACAACTTCAGGTAAAGAATATGTGTGAACCAATTCTCTGTGAATGGGTTGGAATCTCAAATTTGACTTTTGAGAGACATTGGCTTGCTGTGTATAGAAGGTATGGTTTCTTATAAAAATTTTAATTGTCTCATCTATTCGTAAATTCCCCCATCAATAATCGTACAAACCAATGTGGAATATATTGGCGCTTTATAAATGATAAAATGAATAATAATAATGTCTGTATTTCTGACAAAAAAAAGAAAAGAAGTATGCCACAACTAAATTGAATGGTGACCTAGTGTGTCCTTTAAGGGCTGTTCAGAAAGTAATGTGGATAGCCATAGTCATAGTTGTATGATTAGTTGAAAGATTGGGAATCAGCATTGTGCTTCTAGAATACATTCTGAGACCAATTGTTCTAGAGTACATTCATTTTGTTGATAAAGGGCTTAAAATTTGAGTTCCTACGCTACTAGCCTGGCCTTAAGTTGCTCGCCACTGCAAGTCCTGTAGTTTTGAAGTTTTCATTCTAATTGTATTTTTGGGGAGGAGGGTGTCTGTTCATAATTTGATGGTTTTTTTTTTTTGTTTTCTTTTAGGCTTTGAGTTCTGAGCTAGCTCAAGCAAGAGATGAAACTAAGAAGACACAAAACGATGTTCTTCATGCAGAGAACGTAAAAGCTGGCCGCGACAAGTACAAGACGCTCCGCCAGATACGACAAGGCAACACAAAGCAGCGTATTGATGAGTTTGAGGCAATGTGAAAATGTGCTCTGCTACTTGTCCTACATAATGCTGAACAACCAACAGATGTAGAAAGTAGGCCTTTGCAGAATTGATGGAACGTGCCCCACCTTGCCAAAGCACTTGTACCAGTCTTACTGTGGACGTTAAAAGTCAACGAAGACATTAACATTATTTCAAAGTTCGCGTTTTCTGTATGTTCTGATTTTGAGTTTGTAACACCATATCAATGTGTCGTCCATATTTTTGTTTCTGACTATTTTTTGGGAAAGGTAGGCATTCACTACTAAAGCTTTTACTTTGCGTTTTGGAAGAACATGTCTAATGTAATGCTGAGAACTGACGTGAATTGGCATGTTCTGAATTTGGATTATTTAGTAGGCTGCAAAGCTAGGATGTGGATTATGTACGTTATTCTGTTTAACATGGGGTTTGTTTATAATTTAATGTCAGTCATATTAATTTGGTTTTCATGCCAATCTCCTTTGAAAGGTCTAGTCCAATTGAAAAGTATAACTTGACTTCGAACACTGGTGCACCAAATTGATCACATAAGATATGTATCTAAATCAGCAGGTACAGAATGTCTTATCTGTTAGTTTGAAATGGCTATTGATATTGCCACAATGTCATACTTCCTGGTAAAATATTTTATAAATAAATAAATAAATAAACTACCAGCTAGCCATTTCTAGGTAAAGTCGGCAAGGACTCCCAAAAAGAGTGTTGCCTCCTACTACCTCATATAGACAAGATGACTGGTTCTCCTGATAAAGTCAATCCTATATTTTATTTAAGAGGCGCTAGTTATTTTGATCCCTCTTTTTATTTTATAATTCTTATATTTAATTTTACTGCTACTGCTTATATCCTTGTGGCCGTAGTTACTACATTTAGAACAGAGGGACTCCAAGCTGTATTTGAGCAGGCGGATGCCTTTCTAAACCCCTGTTAAAAATCATTAATCCCTGAAAAGGCATTGCGTTCTTACTTTATATATTGCTATATTTCTCATTCATCTACTCAATCATGCTATATTGTATTATCATATATATTTATAAAAAAAATTGTGTTTTATATGTTGCATATAATTCAGAATTGGGGGAACTCGTATATTAAGACTACAACAACAACATTCAGATTGGTGTTCGAAGTTACTAGATCGCACTCACAAATGAAAATGCTATTATAGATTCTATTTACCAAGTTTTGTTCATATAGTGTAAACCAGGATAGTGGACTTAAGCTTAAAAAAAAAAAAAAAAAGAGTGCATTTATTTATTTCACTCCATTTTAGAGCATTTGTGCACCTACAAAGGTTATTATTTAGAAAATTTGAATCTATTGCCTGGCTGTGAAATTTTAACTAAAGCTTGGTCAGACTTCTTTTAGACTAGAAGTCCCTCTGCCGCCAGTCTTTCATACGAGAATTGGCATTTAAGAACTTCAGGAGCATCTAATATAAAGGTTTGTCTTTATGTGAAGCATGAACAAAAAAAAGCCAAATTATATATACAGGCCTGCACTTTGAGTGAGCTAATAACGAAGTTGTGTTGGCACCTCTCACATATTTTGTATTATGCTTTAATTGACACTGGTAGACGGGGGGGACTGTTTAAAGTAAGCTTCCTCAACCTCTGGCCCTCCAGATGTTGCTAAACTACAACTCCCATGATTCTATGAATGAAATAGATAGGCTGAGAATCATGGGAGTTGTATTTCAGCATCATCTGGAGGGCCCGAGTTTGGGGAAGCCTGGTTTAATGCGTGCTTGAAAACACTTCCTGATTGGAGTTAGTGTTTATTTGCTGTGCATCCTGACTGTGATGTGTGTTTTGAAGCACGGCCATACCTTTCCCCCCACCTAGCTCAGTGTGAGACGTGTTCTGCGTTACTCCAGCAGTCTTCTTAAACCAAAGCTTCTGCATTGTCTTTCACTCATCCATACACCAGTCCAGTAGTACTTTTGGGGTAATGGCTGTTCACTCTATTTTGGAGGTATTAAGGTAAAATTTCAGGCAAACGATTTTATTTAGTATAAACATAATTTCCAGAGGAATCTACGGCAAACAAAATAAGTATTTCCTTCAAAGTCTGATTTATCTACTAGCAGTATGTGGCCTACATTGTCCAATGCTACAAAGGGAAGATTTCACAATACTTTGCAATCTGATTTTTCTGATATATATTTGTGAATAAACCTGCTGAGGACCCTTTAATATTTCAGCACCAAATGGGTGAGCAACACTTTTTCTAAAGCAATGTGGGCCTTGATTTCATCCTTGTGACATTAAAACAAAAAACATACGTTCCTATATGGATAGTCAGTGGGAGAGAATTCCAATCTGAAATGTCCTTGAGTCACTTTTGAGACATTTGGGTTCACAGTGTTTAATGTAGAGGTGATTAATTGCTAGTGCTCTCATCTACTGCAGAGGAGGATGTGATGGTGCAGATTCCAGTCCAAAATTTGCTGGGAACCTTCCAGTTATTCACCTATGTCCTAAATTAGAAAACATATTTTTTTTTTTTTTTTGTTTGTTTGTTCCTGTAATTCAAAGTGTAACTTTTTTTTTCCCCCATACTGCTTTTCACAGACTGTATAGAATTACTATTGCAGAAAATAGTGATTTCTCACTAGCAGAGAAAGGTCGAAAACTAATTTAATTAGGGGTCTTTCAATTTAGCATTATTTTCTCTAAGCTTTTTTTGTTGTACATTAAAGCTACAATTACAACTATTTTCAACAAAGTTGTTTAACAATAAAGATATATTGGACAATTGTTTGCCTCCTTTTATATTCCACAGTGAAGTTACGGTCTGGTTGCTTAGAAAATAGTGATGTACAAGTCAACTGGTAAACGGTTTTGGAAAGTTGATTAGATAACTTGCTAAAATAACATTGTGACCATACGGAACTGGCGTCTCTGGACCTGAAGGTGGACCAGTTCAGGCCTCCTATTGCCCATATGATTCTATGTACTTTTCCCACCAGCATCTCTTCTCGCTGGTGATTAATTTGGAAGTGATGCATTCTGGGCATCTGTTAACTAAGGCATAACAGTTCAAACCTATTATTGACTGCGCAAACTTCTACCCCGAGATCTAGGTCTCTATTACTTGAGTCTCTAATCCCCCTGGCAAAGCGTGATGCACTGCAGAGTTGCTCCAGGTATTACAGAATATTCTGTCTAACTAAAACACACTAGTGATTCTCCTATGAGCAATCGCCCAATACCAAACAGCAGATGGTTATAGAAAAGAAAGAGACAAGCAAGCTTCTTTCTGATGTAAAAGCGAACTCCAATGAACTGCTTTATTGTGTGAGTACATGGCTTTTTCCACATTTACAGGCATGACACACTTGTTTGAATAATACAAGAAGTATGCAGATACAGTAATTACTGTGGGAAAATGGTCAGAGCTAGCTCATGCAATACCATGGGTCTCCTTGACCATCTTGAAGCATACAATAGTCAGGATGTGACACTGATGACTCAGTCCCACCTCTCACTGTGCTGGCTATACATCTAGCTAGGTACATTTCCTAATCCCATCAGATAGCTTAGGCCATCTGAGACAAAGAGTAACTGAGCACATTACACCTGCACTATTATTACTATTGGTATTTATATAGCGCCAACTTATTCCGGAACGATTTTCAATAAAAAGCATAGCTGTTCAATTTTCTTATTGTATTCCTACATGTTACAGTAAGATAGAACACAGATCTTCCATGTACAAAGGTGCTGGGATCATCATACACCTGCCCTGCTTCTGCAAGCCAGGGTAGTGGCATTATGAGCTACATAATCTCTAGTTCTTCACCTGCGTGCAATTCATCGCTAGCGATGGTAGCAATATAGCGCTGTGAGTAAACAGGGCAAATAGGTAATTCGTCACAAACCTAATAAAAACCTAATGCTGTTTTTATTACAAGGAGGTCCCATTGAATGCAATCTTAACATCTTTTTTTGATTAAATTGCATTATTGACAACCTGCCATCAAGAGGCTAGAGTCAGCAACTCATCCCATAGGGGCCCTAATCCCTTTTTAATACTGCTTACTAAACCAGTGCAGGTCTCCTTTGGTCCATTGTTTTATATATTCATTTTTGGAGAGCAATCCAGAAGCTTTAGGACCTCTTGACAATATTTTGTTTGTGACAATACAAGTGACCTGTCTCTTTAATAGGTTTGTCATTGCTTCTTATTAGTAAAAGCAGATGTTGAGGAGAACAGGTGATGTCACAAGCATGCTGGCCGTCTGTCACAGTGTTGACGGAGAGATGATATGCCTGTGACAGAGGCAACAGAGACCCATGCTCCAAGACAACATTAAATGAACTGTTTAAATGTTTTAATTCTAATGAGAGTGTCAGCTGAGTGGTTTCAGCTCCTAGAGTGTTAGCTGCCTTAACCATACCTCCGTTAGGGGCTTGGCTGTGGATGATTGGAGACCCTAATTTAGTGGTCGTGAAAATGGTTTGAACATTGGATGGAATGGCTGCGCCGGGGAACTGCAGGCACTATAACCAATTCAATAAAATGGTTATGGTGCCTACCGTATCCTACAAGGAGCCAAAACCTGTGTTGTCCTGCTAAGTTTTCAGATAAATGTTATTGATTGTGGACATGAGCAGAGGAAGAGAATTTCAGGAGGAAATAAAAGGAGGAATTCAGCTTGGGGCATACTACTTAAGTGTGTGGAGACGGGTAGATATATTGCTGAACTGTCTGTGTGTTAGGCAGGGGCAAACAAAAATTCATATCCAGAGCATTCAAGGAAATAGAAGGTGAAAAGAGAAATAGTTTCAACTGCAAACAGGATTTAGGGACAAAAAAAAAAAAAGATAATTAGCATTAAGAATAAACTAAAAACAAAAATCCCCAGTTCGTCCAACATTCTGAGGGGTGAACAAAAAATAATGGGTTGAGTCGGTACTGTACCCTTATGCTCCAAGCTTATGATGGTTGCCCTGTGCCCATGTAGTTACATTTACTCTCCTCGGAACATTACAAATAAAAGTGCAAATCAAAGCACTTCTCCAATAAGTGGGCAAAGTGGGCACCGAGAGGGGGTGCTATATATTTGGTGGCATTGTCCCACCATACAACCGTTGTGGAAACGAAGCTATTCTTACCACAGTAGGCGTCCCCATAGAAACATAGAATGTGACTGCAGATAAGAACCATTCAGCCCATCTAGTCTGCCAAATTTTCTAAATACTTTCATTAGTCCCTGGCCTTATCCTATAGTTAGGATAGCCTTATGCCTATCCCACGCATGCTTAAACTTCTTCACTGTGTTAACCTCTACCACTTCAGCTGGAAGGCTATTCCATGCATCCACTACCCTCTCCGTAAATTAATACTTCCTGATATTATTTTTAAACTTTTGCCCCTCTAATTTAAGACTATGTCCTCTTGTTGTGGTAGTTTTTCTTTTTTTAAATATGGTCTCCTCCTTTACTGTGTTGATTCCCTTTATGTATTTAAATGTTTCTATCATATCCCCCCTGTCTCGTCTTTCCTCCAAGCTATACATGTTAAGATCCTTTAACTTTCCTGGTAAGTTTTATCATGCAATCCATGAACCAGTTTAGTAGCCCTTCTCTGAACCCTCTCTAAAGTATCAATATCCTTCTGGAGATACGGTCTCCAGTACTGCGTACAATACTCCAAGTGAGGTCTCGCCAGTGTTCTGTACAATGGCATGAGCACTTCACTCTTTCTACTGCTAATACCTCTCCCTATACAAGCAAGCATTCTGCTAGCATTTCCTGCTGCTCTATTACATTGTCTGCCTAACTTTAAGTCATCAGAAATAATCACCCCTAAATCCCTTTCCTCAGATGTTGAGCTTAGGACTCTATCAAATATTCTGTACTCTGCCCTTGGGTTTTTACGTCCAAGATGCATTATCTTGCACTTACCCGCATTAAATGTCAGTTGCCACAATTCTGACCATTTTTCTAGTTTACCTAAATCATTTGCCATTTGGCTTATCCCTCCTGGAACATCAACCCTGTTACATATCTTAGTATCATCAGCAAGAAGACATACCTTACCATCAAGACCTTCTGCAATATCACTAATAAAAATATTAAAGAGAATGGGTCCAAGTACAGATCCCTGAGGTACCCCACTGGTGACAAGATTCGAATATACTCCATTGACTACAACCCTCTGTTGCCTGTCACTCAGCCACTGCATTACACATTCAACAATATTTGAATCCAAACTTAAAGATTGCAGTTTATTGATAAGCCTTCTATGTGCAACAGTTTCAAAAGCCTTACTGAAATATAGGTAAGCAATGTCTACTGCACCACCCTGATCTATAATTTTAGTTACCCAATCAAAAAAATCAATAAGATTAGTTTGGCATGATCTCCCTGAAGTAAATCCATGTTGTCTCTGATCTTGAAATCCATGTGTTTTTAGATGTTCAACAATCCTATCCTTTAACATGGTTTCCATCACTTTCCCCACTACTGAAGTAAGGCTTACTGGCCTATAGTTGCCCGACTCCTCCCTATTACCTTTCTTGTAAATGGGCACAACATTCGCTAACTTCCAATCTTCTGGGACTACTCCTGTTAACAATGATTGGTTAAATAAATCTGTTAATGGTTTTGCTAGTACACCACTAAGCTCTTTTAATAGCTTTGGGTGTATTCCATCAGGTCCCATTGACTTATTTGTCTTTACTTTTGACAGTTGAAATAGAACCTCTTCCTCTGTAAATAAATGATTCATTTATCCTTTTTCTTAACTGAGGTTGACTTATTTGTCTTTACTTTTGACAGTTGAAATAGAACCTCTTCCTCTGTAAATAAATGATTCATTTATCCTTTTTCTTAACTGTGGTCTCTTTCCTTCATTTTCATCTGTAAATACCGAACAAAAATATTAATTGAGGCAGTCAGCTAGACCTTTATCCTCTTCTACATACCTCCCTTCTTTTGGTTTTAATCTAACTAATCCTTGTTTTACTTTTCTTTTTTCATTTATGTATCTAAAAAAAGTTTTGTCCCCCTTTTTTACTGACTGTGCTATTTTCTCTTCTGTGTGTGATTTGGAAGCTCTTATAACTTGCTTAGCCTCTTTCTGCCTAATTTTATAGATCATTCTGTCTTCCTCACTCTGGGTTTTTTTATAATTACTAAATGCTAACCTTTTGTTTTTTACTATTTTGGCCACATCTGCGGAGTACCACAGTGGTTTCTTGATTTTTTTGCTTTTACTGACAAGCCTAATGCAATTTTCTGTTGCCTTCAGTAGTGCAACTTTTAAATAATCCAGTTTCTCTTGGACTCCATTTAAATTGCTCCAGTCTGATAATGACTCATTTACACATATTCTAATTTTAGAAAACGTCTGTTTTTCTAAAGTCTAAAACTTTTGTTTTTGTGTGGTGTGACTTAGTCACTGTTCTTATATTAAACCACACTGACTGATGATCACTGGATCCTATACTTTCACCTACAGTAATATCTAATACCAAATCTAAATTTGTTAACACTAAATCTAGTATGGCCTCTTTACGAGTCAGCTCCTCAACGACTTGTTTTAGAGACAATCCCAGTAGGGAGTTTAGAATATGTGTGCTCCTGGCACAAGCAGCTATTTTGGCTTTCCAATTCACATCAGGAAGATTAAAGTCACCCATGATGATAACTTCCCCCTTTATTGTCATTTTAGCTATTTCCTCAACTAGTTGATTATCTAACTCTTCTATTTGTCCTGGGGGCCTCTAAATCACACCTACACGAG